CTTAAAAAATACGTTTTTTTTTTGCAAGAATTGTGAGCGTTTGTGAGTTGATATCTTCTCTCATACATCATATGACATACATATAGTGAATAAAGATTAACTGGGTCAATTAAATATACTTAAAAGTATGTTCTATTATTATTTTGTAATTAGTTTTCAATCAAATACACTTAGAACATTAGAAATACATTTAAAAATATATTTTTTTGAAAAACCCGGGTCGGGCTTGTTTTTTGACGAAAACCGTAACCGATTCTTAACAGCCGGTCCCAATTAGTCTCGGACCAGGCTAGCTTGGGCCCATTTGGCCATCTCTATCCATGCCTGATCTTAAAGTTTGTTCAAGCAATTTTTTTTCGTGGTTAGGTTTGAGTCCAGTCTGAAAAAGCCCAAAATAGCTCAATAAAGTCCCTCTTTTAACTCCAAAGCCCAAACCAACCCAAAAAGACAGAGTTTTCTTTTGCCATACTGAAAAATGGACTTCGAAGTCCAGGATTCATATCCAAAAAATCCAAAGCCTTGAAAATTACAAATATCGACCTCGTGGTTATATAGAAGTTATGGATTGGATTCTCATAAACCTTCTTACGGGTGTAAATGATGCAAGTCAAGCTCGAGTACCGATATACTTGATTCGAACTCGATTTGAAAATTCGCAACTAGTTAACAACTAAAATCGACTCAAACTTGATTGTAATTTTTTAAACTCGAACCGGAGTTCGAACTCGTTTGAAGCTCGAACTCCAACTCGAACCAAGCTCGAACTCAAACTCGAACCAAGATCACCCATTAAATTTTATCTTTCTCTTATAAATTTTAAAACTTAAAGGTGTTCTCTTAAATTTTGTAAAATAAAGAGACGCATCTCAACTTTCTCATCAAAAAGACAAAATTACAAACTTCATTCACTCATCTCTCTCTTTTTATATCACTTTAATATCTCTATTCTAACGTGGGACAACTTTCTCAAACACTTTTATAGTTTTTTTTATCTTTTTTTAATTATGATTTTAATAAAAAAAAATTATTAGTTTTTAAAAATTGCACAATTTTATTCAAATGTCTACAAATATGACATTTTAATTATATTATATTTTACAAATAATATTATAAAACTAATTATATTTTAAAACAACATATATATAAAAGATTGAGTATCTCACGAGCTTTTCCAGTAGAGTATTAGATAGCTCGACTCGACTCGATTTGTTGATATGTCGAGTCGAGCTCGAGTTTGAATCGAGTCTATTCGAGTCGAGTGTTGACCAAGTCAATTTCGAGTAGCTTACGAATTGAATCGTATCATTTACACCCCTAAACCTTTTTAATGAGTTGGATCCTTACGGTTTTATTTTTGTAATGGATCATGCCTTTTATGCTAATTCTATTAATTTTGTTCGTATATAAGAGGGTCTTAGGGGCCGTTTATCAAACGCTTACTCGGGTAAGTGAACACCAAGTCATTTTACCTTACCGGATGAATATGGTAAGGATTAAAAATCTTATCCGATAAGAGCGAGACAATGACCAAGAGTCTTACCCAGTAAGTGAGGGTGACGACTCTTACCATGGTAAGCGCTTACCGGGTAAATTGTTGCATACGATACCGTTTTGGTGGACTAAAATCTTATTCGGTAAGTAAATGATAATGTTAAGTTTACCGGTAAGCGCTTACCAGGTAAGTGTTTGGTAAACGGCCCTTAGTCTTTTCACCCATTATTTAAAAATAATTTTTAGAATATCAATTAATTTATGCCACATCTCCACCCTATCGAGCCCATTTTCGTTATTCCGTCATCTTCTCCGGCCAACTTCTCTGGCAAGTGCATCAGCTCTAGCCACCACATACCAAAACACAAACACTCGCGAAGTCAACCTAAATACAAACCTTAATTACTAAGGAGCCGTTTACTAAACACTTACTTGGTAAGTGCTTACCGGATAAATTTCCTTATCGGATGAACATGAGAAGGGCCAAGAATCTTACCGGGTAAAAACAATGAAAAGATATAGAGTCTTACCATGTAAGCAAAGGATGACGATTCTTACCCAGGTAAGCTTACCCAGTAACTTGTTGCATTCGATATGTTTTGATGTACTAAAATCTTAAGTATAAAAATAAATTATAATGTTGAATCAAAGTTTTGATTAAAAACAGGTCAAGGAAAAAATATTTTTATATCAATTCTCACGGGTTTGTAATCTTTTTATGACTCTCATTTGATTATCGTCCTACACATATAGAACAAATCAAATAGAAATTGTCTAAAAACTTAGGGACTGTTTACTAAACGCTTACTTGGTAAGTGCTTACTGGATAAATTTTCTCATCGGATGAACATCACAAGGGCCAAGAATCTTACCGAGTAAGAGTGATGAGAATGATGGAGAGTCTTGCCCGGTAAGTGAAGATGACGATTAAATTGTTGTATTCAATACGTTTTGATGTACTAAAATCTTAAACAATATGAATCATATCTTAAATCATTGTTCGTATAAGAGTTCTTAAACGACATTTTTATATTGGTCAATTTAATGCTACAGACGATGATGTTTATTTACTATAATTGTGCCTCAAATTTTTCGAAATCATGTTCATTCCACTCTTTTCAAAGCCTCTGTTACACGTAACTAAGATTATATATCGATTGTACGAGTAATGAAAAAAAGTATAAAAAATCATATCAGATATTATATAAAATGTCTTACAAATTAAAAACGATAAAAATGTTTTAAATGATAAAATACATACATTATACTTAAACAGAATCATTTTCAAAAAGTTTTTTGAACCACCGTCGACCACTATCGATCTGAACCACTGCCGACGACCACCGATCTGAACCACCGCTGACCATTACCGATCTGAATCACCGCCGGGCACCACCGATCTGAACCATCATCGATCACCGCCATCTGAACCACCACCGATCTAAACTACTGTCGACCATCGCCATCTGAACTACCACGAACCACCATCGATCTAAACCACCACTAACTAGTACCGATCTAAATTATTGTTGGGTAGTACCATCTGAATCTGAACGACTGCTGACCACCGTCGATTTAATAACATCGTTTGGCTTATGGTTATATTTAGATTGCGTATTTTATTAAGATTTGATTATGATTTATGTAATTGTATAATGAGGTCAACGAGGGTAGAAGGAGTTGGTAAGGCTGTGAAAGCATACTAACATGCGAATCTCAGTTACCAAAAATAATAGCATTAATATTAGTTGGCTGACAACACCAATTTATTATTTATTATTTATTATTTATTATTTATTATTTAATTCACTCACTCCACTTAATCTGCTCACCTCACCTCTATTCTATCTATATTTATCGCCACCTGTTTTTTTATATTAAATTAAATTAAATATACTACTTATGTACCTATTCACCACATCAAACACAACATTTATACACATTACAATAAAAAAAAAACTAAAATCTATTAATACTTTTGTTTAGACCAATCAAACTCGTTGGTACCATCGTAACACCCACCGCTCGTTTGGGTCTTATTTTTTAAATATTTTACATGAATACGATAAATTTCAATATCATATATGATTATACTTTTTTTAATGTGTTTAATCACATATGATTAAACATATTGTATTATCAACGCAACATGCATTTAATCGTATATGATATTAAAACTTCTCGTATTCATAGAAAATGTTTAGTTTCTTGTTTGAAACTTTATATATATATAGTATGGTTCAAATACAACTCATCGCATTTGTACGAACAATGCAATCCAATAAATTGAGATATTTATGGAAATGATGAGAGTTCATTTATTATGATTTGAATATTTATGGAAGATGAATATGGTTCATTAATTATGATCAATACTTTATATTAAAAAACAATCAAAACTTCTATGAAATCACATATTAATCAAGTGAAATAGACGGTTGAGATTGAGTTGTATTAGTTGCACAAATGTCAATGGTTGTATTAATAACCAACCTATATATATATATATATATATAAACAAGTTTAAATATTAATGACCATTAACCACTACAGATTATAATAAGGAATCACTGAAATTTGTAGCTCAAACTCCGAAACACTAGAAGCATCGGCATGTGTTTCCAATTATATATGTATTTCAGTAGAAGCATGGACAAATGCGCATCTTTATTTCCGAGATCCTTCCCAAACATTTGAATCGTAATTTCGTATTATTTATTTATTAGAAATATGTTGGTATAATACAGCGATATAAATCTTCATTTTAATGTTTAGTTTTATTTTTTGTTTATATCGATATAATATAATTTTATGTGGTTTTAAAAAAACAATAATGTTTTTATTTTTAATGAAATATAAATTTGAAAATATCATAAAAAATTTAAAATAAAATAAAATCGATATTAGTATTAAATTAACTATTTAATAAATCTCGTTTTCTTGTTGTAAATTATTTAATTCAATTTTTTATTATAATTTAGTTTAGGTCTAATAACAAATTAATTTATTTTTGGTTTAATAATATAATTTTTATTAAAGATAATAATTAAACATTTTGTAGAAACTCAATAATTATCTTAATTATATTTTAGATTTTCTATATTTAAAATAAATGTTTATCTTGTATTTGCTTATGATTATTTGCAGTTAGTTATACGAATTTAAAAATGAAGCTTTAATAAGTTGTACTTGTGGAAAATCACTTGTAATTTTGAATTTTAAGTAATATACATCAATAAACAATATCTTATTTATAAAAAATGATTTTTAATATTTTTTGTCAAATGCTTTGTAATATAGTATAGATGATATATCCATTTTTAAAATAAATGTCTAATTTTCTGATAATATTATTTATTAAACTTAATAAATTCATATTAATTTATAACTGTATTTAAAATCAATTTAAAAAACACAACCATTATTATAATTAAATGAGTAAACTAAAATTGATCCAAAAAAATCAAAATCAGAAATAAAATTAAAATTAAAAGCAAACTCACTTTTCTGAGGAAGAAAAATACAAATATTAAATTCCACACTCATTAATGACGTCAGCTTTCAAGGGTCTTGTATATGACAACGAAACAAGGTAAAATAGCCCTAGGATTAAAAACGTACAACTCCTCAAGATTCGAGTACAACCCGGCATAGCCGGCCACCGAGTCGTACGGTCCATCTTCCTCAGGCGGCGCGTCTTCACCCACGCGCTTCACTTTCCCAGCTATAACCCGACATACCAGCATCGCCCGCCGTCCATGGGCGTCAACCCCGAGACAGTCATGTGCCCTACCACTACTGGCGGTAGTACGCACGCCACCCTTTGCTCCACCGTCACCACCGCCGATGCCGCCGGATTTGGGGCCTTGAAACCCGTGGCGGATGATGGTGCAAACGCCGCAGCCGGGGACGGAGCTGCAGAGGCTGGAGGAGTTGCGAGATCCCAGAGAGCAGGAAAGGGTGGTGCAGTGGAAGCGGAGGAGCTCATTGCCGTCGGCGGCGCACCGGGAGGCCGTAGCGTTGGCGCGGATCTTAACGGCGTCACGGCAGTCTTCAAAACGTTGGATAGTCCGACGTGTATTGTGGACTTTTAAGATCCGTTCGATGGTGAAAATCGGATGGTCCCTCTTGAGCCAGCTGGATTTGAATATTATCTCGACAATATTCCGACCCGAATCTTCCGGACCCAGCTCCGACACTGTAACACAATTAAATGATGTGAAAGTTACATAAATGCCCCTGCTACAAAAGCCAAATGCAATTAATATCCCGCTAAATATGCCCTTTTCTTACTTCACATATTCAAATATGAGTGTCGGTCATGGATATATTTCAAACCATTTTACGAATTTATTCATTATTTTACAAATTTATACAATAATGGAAATATAAGTTTAAAATATTTTATTATAACAAATAACTAGTTGTGTATCCGTTTGGTCTTTACATATTAATAAATTTGAATAAATAAGAGTTATGGTTTCAATTATAGTTTATCGATGAAAAAAAAATCCAAATTATTTAAACTACTCCACAAATATGTTCGATTTACACCAAGAGCAAAGAATCAAGAGATGGAGAGCGAGACCGAGAGTTCTAGAGTAATTGAATGAGAAAACTTTTAATAACTCATGGTAAATATCAGTTTGAATCTCACATTGGGAGATGGGGAGAAAACTTAGAGATATGAGAGGGTTAAGACATGAGTGAAAGATGTCAAAAGTATCTTGGGAACATGAAATAAAAAGATAATAATTTGCATTGGTAACTTGTATTATATGTTTTTAAGACTGAATGCATAAAGTAGTAGTACTTAATGAATTATAAGTTGTTTTTATAACTTTTATTATTTTTATGACTTTTAATAAATCTGGTTTATAAGATAGTACGAGATAAATAAACAAAAAATAAATAAATAGGAAAACATATTTACCGGCGTGTCTAACCGCTTGATGATGTTCCAAACTTTCCATTTTTGGGAACACTTCTCCACATTGTGAACACACACAAATGCTACTTCTTGGTAAGGTATACCTACAAATGCAAACATAAATCCCATGTTTAATTTTCATTTTTAATATTAAAAATAAAAATAAAATGGTAAATAAGATTTTCTTACGACGGAACTCTGATTTGTTTAAGACAATTCACAGATTTTGAGTTTTCGATCAGACTTTTTGGTTTTTATTTGTAAATTACCGATTGTTCGTCTTTGAAAATATTTGATCCATCTCGTGTGCATTTCTAATCTTTATTTTAAAATTAAAATCGAACTAAATATGTTATATATATATATATATAGTTTGATAAGGTACAAATCGATATATCTGTTTACTTATGTAAATGAAAAAGACTGTTTTTGTGGAAACCAGTAATTTATAACAAGATTTGTTTGGTAGATATTGAGACGAGTTTACACGTACATCTACCGATTTCATAGAGTATGAAGATAATGATTAGAAAAACCCGGAAATCTGAAATTTTTGTGATTTGCTAAGTTGGATTCAAACTCAATGCCTTCGAGATCTACGGACATTCCAATCTTTTTAGAGGTCTTGTTACATTCAAAACTATTGATTATATTGCATAAATGAGATGACAGAGAATATATGTTAAAAATAAAATGGGTTAAACCTAACACAATTTAACAATCTGAAACTACACCTAAACCATTAATGCTTTGAACTTAAAACCAAATAATTAATGGTTTGAAGCTAAATAATTTCGGCTATAGTTTTACAATGGTCGATAAAAAGACCTTAAACACATGTAAATTTGGATCCCAAAATTTCTGGAGCCCTGTTTAAAATCTCACATTTAACATATTAAAGACACTACTGTTGAGATCAAATGTTTTTTATACCCATTTGAACAAAAAAACCAATTATTTCTGAAGTAAAAAAAATTAAAAATTAAAAATGGAAAATGAAATTGATTTTGGTATTGAGATTGAGATTAGACCTTGAAGGATCAACAATGGCATGACACTCGTAACACCCAGAAAGCTTTCTAAACTGCATGCCTCTCGAACATGACGTGTGACTTCCCGGGCCGTTGGATCTCATCGAACCCGCCAACGTTCTTGAAGAAGAAGACGAAGACGACGACCCACCACCAGTAGTTGACTGTTTTTTCCGGCTAAGAAGGCCGGAATCCAGACCAACGCTGCTACTCTCCGGTGAGTTATCAGCTCTATCAACAACCCTAGTATTCCCATGCACAACATCCCTGAAACTGCAAATGGAGCTACAAGAACTCAATTTCGAATACCCATTTGAATTCTTCACCGGAATATGAACCTTATTCGATCTACCATGAACAACGTCCATTTGTTTGCAGGTCAACAAGTTCTTGAATTGATCCCATGAAGATGACGAAGAAGATGGGTTTTGTGATATGGGTTTGGGTTTGGATTTAGGTTTAGATTTGGGTTGGATTTCCTTTCGTCTGGTTTGTACTTTTTGGGTTTCAGAAGAAGATGGGAAAGTGAGAAGCGCCATGAAAGGAACAGAAAAGCTGCAAGATTTGAAAGAAGAGAAGAATGAGAGAAAGAGATGGTTGTTCGAAGGTTTCTTTTTGGTTCCTTTAATGGCGGATAGGATCTAAAAAGAAGGCTGAATTGAGGAGGCAATGGAGATGGTGAGTTTTTTATTTTATTTTATTTTATTTTATTTTATTTTTTTATTTTATTGGTAAATTCTTTTTCTTTTCCACGTGTCATTTTAAAAATATATGATTCACCCTTGGTAAAATGTGTGTGTGTTCACTTGGAAAATGTTCAAGAAAAATAATAAAACAATTTACAATTTTCCTTTATTTATTGGTGTATTTTTAATAGATTTTTTAAAATAAAGAAATAGAGTTTTTGTATTCTTGGGGTGTTTGGGATTGCTTATCTGAGACAACTTATACTTTTCTACAAAAGTACTTATCAACTTATTATAAATCACAAGAGTTTAACTTCTTTAAAAACTTCTTATTACCGTTTGGTACCTGTATAAGTTGTTTATCCATACTCAAAAATGTTTATTACCGGTGTCATACCAGAATAAGTCAATAAATTGTTTTTATAAGCAATCTCTTTCTTCAAAATAAAAAAAATTATAATTATAGAGAATTTTTTTTAAATTCTTTGAGAGATAAATGTTATTTTGATATTTTTCATCAATTAAATTCATTTATTAGTTTTTTTATATAATTTTTTAAATAATATATTATGATGATCAAATTAAAATATTTTAATAATATAATTAACGTTGAAATTATCTAAAGTAGTTGAATGTAATTTTCTTAAAAATTAACTTTGGGTTTATTATTTTGGATTAATTATAAAGAATTTGTAACAGATGCTCTAAAAAAACTTGCAGATTTTTGTTTTTGTGATTTCAAAATTTCAATTTTTATGATTTATAATTTATTATTATTTTTGTTTCTAAAGTTAAGGGGATGTTTAAAGTTATTGAATGATTTTGTGTAAAATGATTAAGTGGTCAGAATGATTAAGAGACTAAAATGAAATATAGTTGTTTGATAATTGTTTACAATGAAACTAGAACGCTGAATTATTAAGAGAGGCTCATGATACAAAATCATTCAGATAATTTTAAAACCATTAAGAGACAGACTTTTTTTTGTCAAACAAGATTCACCTCTTAACGATTCAGATGATATCTCCTAATGGAACTATTAAAAGGTAAACAAACAACTCTTAACTCTATCAATAATTTAATATATAACCCATATGGATGAAAAAAGTAACTAATTGTAAATTACGAGGACTAAAAACAACTAGTTTTAAAGCATAGGGATGAAAAACGTAATTTTAATATATTTGTATCTTTTATATTTTTGTTTTATTGACACATAGTTTTGAAAGATTATCCATTATTTCCTAAGTCAAATAATTGTGAATTATTACGGCAAAAAACTTATGCAAGGACAAGCCTTTAAATTTGTGGGCCAATTTCTTTCACAATTTATTGTTGATGAATTTTTTTTAATAAAAAAATGTAAAAATATATGAGTTGATTAAAAGGTTAGAAAATCATTTAATGAAAAAGTTAACCGTTCGTAACAATAACTTGAAGAATGGTTTGATATAGGGGTGAGCAACGGAACCGGGTACTTATTTGCGGAATCGAAACTGCCTTGAAACTGCCGATTCTGGAACCGGAACCGATATGAGTGGTTTCGGTTCCGATTCCTAAAATACGGAACCGCTTGAGAATGGTTCCGGTTTTGGTTCTCAATTTTTTGGAACCGTTACTCGTTGGGTACCCGCCAGGACCGGTTTCGGATACCCGAAACTGGCGGGTACCCGGTCTTTTTCAATTAAAAAAATAATTAATTTTTTTAATACAATTATAGTATGTAATCGTTAAACTTTCAACATTTATCATTAGTTTATTATGGTTTGTAATCGTTAAACAACATTTATAACCAGTATTCTGTATAATTTGTATTCTTGTTTATTTATTTAGTGTTTTGACAATGTTTTATTTTTTTATTTCTAAATAACAAAATTTTAATATTTTAGGAAGCGGGTACCCGGAACCGGAACCGGTTCCCGACGGTTCCGGTTCCAGTTCCAAAAATTCAAGAACCCCGGTTCCGGTTCCAAAATCTCAAGAACCGCCGGTTCCGGTTCCAGTTCCAGTTAAATAGGACGGGTACCCGTTTATTCTCACCCCTAGTTTGACATCCAAAAGCTTGGGAGACGTCAGGTGTTTGAAGATTTATATATGAGTATTGAAATTACAAAATAGAACTTTTGAAAAACCTGACTGTTGGAGTAAGTATTTGAAGATGTTTTTTGTTTAGTGGAAATATAATGTGGAAAACAGATCAGATGTTTTAAAGACTTGACCATTGTGAATGCTTTAAAGCGTAACAATTTACAAGAATGCATTTAAAACTGTAATCCATTTTTGGGCAAAACACTGGTTTTCTGTTTTTAAAACTCAAACCCTCAATTTTGAGGTTTTAGTATTTATCTCTATGCTCGATCATTAAGAAGAATAACAGAGATTCGAAAACGTACACAGATGAACACAAATTCATTGAAAAATTTGTGATACAGAACCTTAAATCTGAAAAAAGAAAAAGAGTTGTATTTGTATTTCATTTATATAAAGAAATACAGTACAAAATTTGATGTCATATGTTATTTAATAAAAGAAATTAAATAAATTTTAAATAGGATAAATTGTACGAAAAAGTAACGTACTTTAACTTGATTTCTATTTTGGATAACGTAATTTCAAAACTTTCATTTTGACATCTAAGATGTAAAGTTTTAAACATTTAAGTACTCGGTAAACAGTTGAAAACTAATTTTAGATTAAAAAAGTTATGTCACTTATCATGTTAACAAATAATACTGAGTTGGATACCACATCACTCGCTACATCAGCATGATAACCGGTTAATGCTTCAACAAGGTTGTCCGGGTACTTAAATGTTTAAAACTTTACATCTTAGGTAACAAAATAAAAGTTTTAAAAGTACGTTAACCAAAATAAAAGTTTTGAAAGTACGTTATCCAAAATAGGAATCAAGTTAAAGTACACTACTTTTTCATATAATTTACCCTTTTAAATATTTAACAGATCTTTTAATTAAAGAACATTTAGATGTAGATTACAAACTATATTAATATTAACCACAAGGGTGGTGCCTGATTGGTTTGAGCTTGACTCCAAATGTCAAAAGTACCAGGAGGTTCCAAGTTCAAATCCAAGAAAAAATAAAAATCCCTTTGTGGCCATGGAGGTTCAAATACGGTGATTCCGAGCTATCTGCAAAGCAGGTGGTCGCCCTGGGATTAGTCGGCTCATATAACGGGTTAAATATCCAGGTTAATAAAAAAAAGTATATCAATATTCGAAAATAAATAATAATTAAATAAATTAAAAAAAAATTATAAGAATGTTCTTTTATTTCATTGTGAAATTGTCATGTGTTTTGTTTTACGAGGAGAGACTATTAATCACTTTCACAAGCTTTTGCTGTTCCTGCTATACTATTTATGCTATTCATTTCTAGCTTTTATTTGTTTTTAATGTAAAATAATAATAAAAATAATAATAAGAATTAATAAATAGTTTTTTAATTGTTTATTATTTTATACGAAATAAAAATAAATAAAAATTGTAATTTAAATATTCATAATACCAGATATCAGTTTTCAACGATCTTCAATTTGAGTTTTTTCAGTATCATTTGAGATTTTTTTTGTTTCAGTCTGATGAAATTAGTAAATAATTAAAATTGTTCTTTACAATAATATTGCTGCTTTCTCTTTTTCAGCGTCTGTTATTCTGGAAACTATGTGATATGGTTCAGCAACTACCCCTCAGGGTGTACAAACTATTCTGTATATCTACGTCTATTTGAAAAGTCTGTATGATATTGCTTTCTTATATCTGATATAAACGATGTTTTACAAAAATTTAAATAATTATCATGGGAAATTTATGTCGACGAAATATTAGAGAAAAAAACCGGTACATATATACATAAAAGTTAGAAATCCCAAACGTAAATGCTAGACATGAAAGTGGACCTCTAAGTGGTTGACATTTTAATTGTAGATCTTGAGGTACCAACTACCATTTTCAATGCTAATATCAATTGCTACATATACATCAACAACACTGAGGGGATGTTCAGAAAGTTGCTGAATAGTTCGGTAAATAATGATTAAGTGGTCAGAATGATTAAGAGGTTCTTATGATATAATGTAAAAGAAAATAGAATTATTTGGTAATTATTTACAATGAAATTAAAGCGCTTAATGGTTAAGGGAGACTCGGGATACAAAATCATTCAGGGGGTTTTAGAACCATTAAGAGACAAATTTTTTTTTTTTTACCAAACAAGATTCACCTCTTAACGATTTAGAGTTTGACTCTTAATGAAACTATTAAGAGGTAAACAAACAACCCCTAAGAGTTCATTTGGTTTGCAAGATTGTTTTTGATGGATTTGGATTTAGAGGGATTTGAAATCATTGGTATGTTTGGTTTATAGGATTTGAAATGGAATTGGATTTCAGTATTTATAAATAATTTATAGAAAAAATTATAAAAATAATCGAATTACATTTTTATTAACTGGTTATTACAAAACAAATGTTTTTAACATTTTTAAAACATTATTGCATACAATCCTACGAAATCCCGTGAAATCCGGAGCACTTCCTAAGGATTTCAAAATCCTATGTTTAAAGGATTTCAATTAAATCATAGGATTTCAAATCCGGACAATCCAACAAACCAAATAATGGATTAGAATGGATATGAAATGCAAATCCTACCAAATTCCTTCAAGCCAAACGGGGCCTGAATAAAAATATATGTGATTTCTATTATCAAAATAGTCTTCAAATAAAGATAAACCTGTATTATATAAGGGTGGATTCAAACATGAATACTACCATTTTATGAGAACGTAAATATTATATCAGATATGATACCACACAGAAGACAATTTAATTGTG